GAAGCATTTTCCATAACGGCCAAAGTCTGGCACCGACACCCAAGCCCGCTGGTGCAGAAGGACTGAGAGGCAGGACCCCAACGGTGGGCCAGACTCTCACATGCCCGCGACGTGAGCAGGAACAAAAAGACCCTCAGTGGAACTCAAGACAAAACGTTGGGTGACACAGGCCAGTCACCAAACAATGCAGGACTGGCTGTTTCTGGGCCTTCCAGGCAGGCTGGCAGGTCTGTGTGTACATTAGTTTGCCTCGGTTCCCACACAAAACACCACAAGCTGGGTGACTTAAACAACATTGATTCTCCCACTGATTAATATGCTGAAACTCTAGCCCCCATGGAATGGCATTTGGAGGTGGGCCTTTGAGGATAATTAGGGTTGGATGAGGTCATGAGGGTGGGGCCCCAGGATGGGATTAGTGTCCCCACCCCCATGTGCCAGCACAGCCAAAAGATGGTGTCTGCAGGCCAGGAAGCGGGCCCTCACCAGAACCAACCACACTAGCACCCTGATCTCCAACTTCCAGCCTCCAGAACCAAGATAAATAAATGTCTGTTGTTTAAGTTGCCTGTCTGGAATTTTATTATGTGTCCCAAGCACAGGTTTAGATTTAAGCTTCATCTAGAAGCTGCCAGTTACTTTGGAAGGTATTCCAAGGAGGCCAGGGGACAGTTTGGTGGAAGTATGTTTGCCATTTTAGTTACTACGCCGGGTCAGAAAGCAGTTAAAGTCTGCGGAAATGGTCAGACGTGGACTTTTCTTTTCAAGATGTTTTTCCTGTACTCCACTTTCTCGCAAATGGAGAAAGATATGTCCTGAAATCCTGAGTCCTTAGAAGTCAGCTGGTTTGAATTACGGGGAGTGGGCTTCAATAGAAACCTCTGCTTCTTACAGGCACCATGGCTGGGTCACAACCCTCCCGGGGCCAAGAAGCAGGTTGGCCTGGGGCTGCTTGGGGGTTGCTGAGGAGAGGAGTGTGGGCAGTCAGGGCCCTGTGGCCTCAGGGCGTGGGGAGGAGGGAGGGGGCTGGCAGTGAGCTAAATGCTCCAGGGCGCAGGGGCCCGTCTGGGGAGCCCCAGGCGAAGGGATGTCCTTGCCTTTTCAACATCACGGCCTCGGGGCTTTGCAACCCATTTCCCCTGTTTGTATGTTTGTCCTCCTGGTAGCTCAGTCCTGGCTCCTTCCGTCCGTCCACGGCCAGGCACTGAGATACCAAGGGGCGTTTCCCGCCTTATTTTTCAGTTTGCTCTTGTCTGTCTGCCCCCTGCCCCAGAACTCAGCCCCAGGGTGGGCAGGGGTGCCAGCCCAGCGCCCCGGTGCACAGCCGGTGCTCCAACAGGATTGGGAGCCCAGTCCCCCCCACCCTCAGGGGTTGGCTCCGGTCTTTGGGCCCGTCCCTGGCCCCGCCCTCCCTCTCTCCCGCCTCCGCAGCCCCTCCCAGCAGGCCTAACACACTTCCAGGCATTTCCTCCCTACTACGCCCTCCCCCGGACATTATCCTCCCCTGGTTGTGTCCCCTGCCCCGTTCTCCTCCTCCTCTGGGGCCCTGCAGCCCCTGCTCACCCTGCCGTGCCGGGGCCTGTCCCGAGGGAGGGCAGCCCACAACGACGCAGCAGGGATCAGGCAGGTCCTCCGGAAGCGCCGTGGCCCACGACGCCCGGCTCGGCGACGCGCATTACAATCCGCGGTCAGGCCCACAGGGGCGGAGACCCCGGAGCGCTGTCAGGCGTTGCGGCAGGGTGCCCCGCGTGGACGCGACCCCCACACGTTCTCGAGACAACGCTGGGGGGCAGGGCAAGGGCTGGATTCACTGCCTTCCCTGGGAGTGCGGTGGGGGCGGGCCTTTCACAGCGGGGAAGGGTCCGGGAGGCCCGGGGTGGGGTCGCTTTAGGTCGCCCACGAGGTCGGGGTCCAGAGGGAAGGATGCCAGTCCCTCGGGCTTCCCAAGTGAGAGATGATGGGAGGGAGCACCTCCTGAAAGGAACCACCCCGTCTGTGATGAGGGCAGGGGCCGGGCGCCGGGGGTTGCTCGCGGCGGGGCAGGGTCCACGCGTCTGAAGACCCCGCAGACTGAGCCGCCCATGCATGGCTGGTGGGAGCACACAGGGCAGACAGGCCGTCCCAGCTCCAGAGCCATCTCCATCGCCTTCCTCCTCCACCATGGACGCCCAGACTGGGGCCCAGAGGGCCTAGCTCCTCCCCGGACCTCACCCTGGGACCCCCCCACCCCGAGACCCCAAACCCTTCCCCGGCCCTCTGACTCCAGACGGGGGCCCCCTAGGGCAGGGCCTGGACTCCAGACCCCACTCTGGGGACCTGGGGCAGTGCCGCACGTTTGCCGGGTCGCCCTGAGCAGCCGCGAGCGGGATCCCGGTGCCGCGTGGGAGGCGTCCGTCTGCGCAGGCGCGTGCCCGGGCGCCGCAGGTGCAAACACCTCGCGTCGGTGTCTGCAGGTCGTGTGCCTGTCTCGTCTGGCCACCGGACCTCGTCGGGCCACCAGACCCACCCACCTGCCCGGAAGGCCGCGGAGCTCGGACCTCGGCCCACCCACTGCTCCGCAGGCCCGCCCCGCTCGTGCCCCGCCCCCATCCCGCAGGCCCCACCCCGCCCCCGCCCAAGGGCCGGGACCCCGCCCCAGACCCCGCCCCGCGGGTGCGCGCCTGCGCAGTGACGGCAGGCGCAGTCGGAAGCACGGCGAGGACCGCGGGGCACGGCTGGGGACGGCTGCCCCTCTTACCCGCAGTGCTGACCCCGCAGTCGTCCTCCACTGGGGCTCGGGCCGCCCTGGCCGGGGATGGCGGCGGCGGCCGAGCCCGGGGCCCGCGCCTGGCTTGGCGGCGGCTCCCCGCGCCAGGGCAGCCCGACCTCCAGCCCGGAGCTGGTCGCCGGAAGCCGCTCGCCGTCGGGGCCGGGGTCCGGGCCGGGGTCGGGGCCGGGGTCCGGGCCGGGGTCGGGGCCGGAGCAGGCGGGCGCTAGGCCCCTGAGCCCCGCCGCGCCGGGTCACAGCTTCAGGAAGGTGACGCTCACCAAGCCCACCTTCTGCCACCTCTGCTCCGATTTCATCTGGGGGCTGGCCGGCATCCTGTGTGACGGTGAGCGCCCGCGACCCCATCGCAGATCCCAGTACCTGGGCCAGAACGGGCACCTCACCTCTGACCTCTGCACTTCCAGCAATGGCCTCCCCAGGATAGAGCCCCTTGCCCCTCGGGGCAGGAGTGTGCCAGGCCCAGACCTCCCCGTGGAGGTGATGAGGGCCAGCTCCTGCGGGCGTCTGGGGGCGTCCGGTGGCCGCGGCCCCTCCCCCAGGCCGGTGGAAAGATCTGCTCCCTAGGCGCCCTCACCTGGCTTGGGATCCAGTGGGGAAAGAACGTCGCGGCAGCGCAGGGCGGGTGCAGTGAGTGCGGATGAGGCCAGCCAGCCCTGAGCAGGTGCAGGGGGCAGCAGTGCGGCCAGGCGGGGCTGGCCTGGGCCACTGGCTCCCCTGGGCTGGTGTTGGCCCATTCTCTCCTGGGTGCACACTGCTGCCCACAGGGCCTGAGTGCTGGCGTTGCGCAGGCTCAGACTCCCAGAGAGCTAGCTGGGCCAGGCCTGCCACCCCGAGTGTGACATGCCCCAACAGGGCTCACACGCCGCCGCCAAGCCGGCCTGGCGGGGTGAGGAGGCCCTCCCTCCTCTGGCTCCTGGGCAGCTGACACGTGTGCTGCCAGGGTCGGCTCTTCTAATCCTGCTCGCTTCCGCAGGGGACGGGGCGGGGAGCCTCTGCCCTGCTCAGGGAGACGGGCCTTTGGCTCTGGGGACAGAGGGAGCATTCAGGCTGGAGCCTGCAGAGGAGACTGGGCGCCTCACACAGGATGCCTAATGCCAGGGCAAGTGGCAGGTCCCCCTCGCGGGTATGGCCTCCTGAAGGTGGGCACTAGGTCTGAGGGGCGAAGAAGCCCATGGAAGGGAAATGGGGGTGATGTGGAGGCCTTCACTGGGCAGCTGTGCGGACCTTCTCCCCAACTCTGGAGAAGGAGCCGGTGACCTCAGCAAGCAGAGGGGCCTGACAAGGGCATGGGAGGAAGAGCCCCTTCTCCTGCCAGGGAGCACCCAGCATGTGGGGGGAGCAGGGACTATGTGCATGGGCCAGAGGAGGAAGCTGGGTGCCGCCTGCCCGCAGCCGAGCCAGGCTGGGTGCCTCACCCGGCCCCATGCGTCCCCAGGATGGGTAGGGTGCCCCCTTGCTGCCCCTGTGGGCCTTGCGAGCATAGCTCACCACTGTTGGAGCCTCTGGGCTGTACTCCCTGGGCCGGGGCAGGTGCAGCCCTCATTGGGCCAGCCGCCCTGCCTGCCTCGGGGGGCTGGGGGGATCCTGGTCTATCACAGACTGGCTGTGGTCTGGGCAGGCACATCGTGCGTGGGAGGGGTAATTAGGGGTGTATGCAGTTGTGGGGAGTGAGGGAAGGGTGTCCCTGGTGAAGCTGGTGTAGGGGGTAGGTAGAGGTGCAGGAGCTGGCCAAGTGCCCGCCTGCCCACCCACCCCCAGCAGAGACTTGAAAGAACTGGGCCTGTGTGTGCGTGTGTGTATAGGGCGCTGGACGGGGGACTCTCGGGACACCAGAACACACCGTCATCCAGGACGGTCAGAGCCACCAGGCCCCGCTCCCCGCTCTGGGCCCTCTGGGGTGGGACAGAGGATCAGGTTGTCTCCATGCCCTCTCTCTACCCCTATGACTAGGGTTGGGGTCAGGAAGTTTTGGGAGGGTGGGCCCACTGTGATGGGCCATCTGCCCCGTCACAGAATGCTGGTACCCTACCACACGGCCCTTGGCGGTCCCCCTGGCTGCGGCCTCCCTCCCGCGTGCCAAGACCTGGGGTCTTTTGATTCCCGGGCAGGACGGGGGCCAACTCACGGGGCTCTCATTCCCATAGTCTGCAACTTCATGTCCCACGAGAAGTGCCTGAAGCACGTGAAGACCCCGTGTGCGAGCGTGGCACCCAGCCTGGTCCGCGTGCGTATGGAGCATGGGCTACTGCACCTTCGGGGGGAGTGTGCAGAGGGTCAGGGAGGCCAGCTTTTGTGGTGGGCAGTCAGGCCAGCATGTCGGATGGGGTGGGCAGTGGCCCAAGCACTGGGGGGCTGGGGTGGGAGTGTTCCCTTGTGCTGGTCTGGGTCCCTGAGCTGCAGACTGCATCCCTGCCTGTGAGCCCCTCCCGGGGCAGCAGCTGGGCGTCACTTCCCGATGGTTCTGACCCTGTCTTCTCCAGGGTCCCTGATACCCAGCACTGCTCCTCCTGCCTGTTGGTGGGCCTCCCCCACCTGTACTTTATCCGGGTGGCCTGAAGTGTATCACGGAGGGGAATAGGCCTGGGGGAGTGGCCAGCACCTGTGCAGCTGGATCAGGCCTGGGCAGGACCAGCCGGGGCCTGAGCTGCAGTGGGGGTTGTCTGAGATCACGGCCCAGGCAGCCCTGAGTTGGTCGTGCACAGGGAATGGGGAGGTCAGCATGCAGGGCAGTCCCCGGCAGGACCCCTGGGAGCACCGAGGGGCTGAGAGGCACACACAGCATCCTGTTAATCGTGCTCGGGAGGACTGAGGGGTGTATGGCGGTCAGGCAGGTGGCCAGGGCTGGTGATGGGAGCTCCCTGGGACAGAGAGGAAGTGGGGCTTGGGGACCCGGTTGCCAGGCCTTAGGGCCCAGGCTGAGGCCGAGCTCTGCTCCTTCCAGGTCCCCGTGGCCCACTGCTTCGGCCCCCGGGGGCTCTACAAGCGCAGGTTCTGCGCCGTGTGCCGAAAGGGCCTGGAGGCGCCCGGGGTTCGCTGCGAAGGTACCGTCAGGAGCCTGCCTGGCTCCTCTGGGGTCTAACTCCCTCCTCACCAGGGACCTGGCCTCTGCTGCCCAGGGGCGCCCAGCCCTCCCTGCGGTCAGGCGGTAGCTCTAGGGTGGGGTTCGGGGATTCTGGAGCTGCCCGCGCCGGGAGGCGGGGAGGCGGGTGCAGGGGACCGCAGGGGCGCAGGCTGCGTGTTGAGGTGGGCCCGGAGGGGAGAGGAGCGGAGAAGCTGGTCCCCATCCCGCCGAGGGAGGGGGGACTGCTCCTGTCTCGCACGTCGGACCCCAAAAGGTTAAAGAATGTGCGGTCAGGGGAGGGGCGGCCCCAGACGGGAGCAGAGAGGCCGGCGAGAAGGGGTCTGGCAGGGTCGGTGGGCAGCGGCGACAGGCCCCTAACCCTGCCCGCCCCCCAGTGTGTGAGCTGCACGTTCACCCCGACTGTGTGCCCTTCGCCTGCAGCGACTGCCGCCAGTGCCACCAGGACGGGCACCGGGACCACGTGAGTGCGCTGGGCCGGGGTCCGGAGGGCCGGAGGGCCGGGGAGGTGGGGGAGGCTCCGCCGAGCCTGCTGACAGCCCTCCCGCAGGACACGCACCTCCACCACTGGCGCGAGGGAAACCTGCCTTCGGGCGCGCGCTGCGAGGTCTGCCGGAAGACTTGCTGCTCGTCCGACGTGCTGGCCGGCGTGCGCTGCGAGTGGTGCGGCGTCCAGGTGGGGCGGGGCGGAGGCCCTGGGGGCGGGGCGGGAGAGGCGCGGGTGCGCGTGGGGCGGGGGCGGGGGTCCTGGGGGCGGGGCGGGATGGATGTCGCGGCCAAGACCAGTGGGGCGGGCTGCATCGTCCAGTGGCAAAGCAGGTTGGGGGGCGGGGGTCCTGGGGACAGCTCGTTTGGATCGGGGTGTTTTCTGGCCTTTGGGGTGGGGGTTCGGTTGTGCAGGGGAGACTGAGGTTGGGGGTTGCGTGGGAGCTCAATGTGGCCCCCCGGGAAATCACTGAGGGCCGGCCTGGACCCAGGCCCTCTCCTGTACCAGGACCCCAGGCTCGAGCCCGCGCCCTCTCCCCCAGGCCCACTCGGTCTGCTCCGCGGCTCTCGCCCCCGAGTGCACTTTCGGGCGCCTGCGCACCATGGTCCTGCCGCCGGCGTGCGTGCGCCTGCTGTCCCGCAACTTCAGCAAGATGCACTGCTTTCGGATTTCCGAGAGCACGGCCCCTGAGCCCGGTGAGCAGGGCGGCGGGGAGCGGGCGTCTGGGGTGGGGGCCGGGCCTCGACTGAGGCCAACTGTGACCGTCCCACAGGGGAGGGAGAAGACAGCGTGGACGGAAGCGCCCCCGCCGGCCCAGGGAGAGAGGTGATGGCACTAGAGTCCAGTAAGTGCCCCTTAGCTGTGCCCAGCCCCGCATCCCATGCCCCGTTCCCCCATCCCGTGCCTCGTTCCACGGATTTGCACCCACTTCCCTGTGGCCCAGGCAAGCAGACTCTGAAGATCTTTGATGGCAACGACGCAGTGCAGCGAAACCACTTTCGTGCCATCACCGTCCCCCGCCTGGCCAAGAGTCAGGAGGTGCTGGTAAGAGGGACCCCGCAGCCGCCTTGCAGGCCCGTCCCTGGGGGGCTGCGGGGACCCAGCGTGGCCTGGCTCCGCTCACGCCCACCCCCACCCCCCTCCAAGGAGGTGGCGCTGCGGGCCTACTACATCACGGAGGACCCTCAGGGCTTCCAGCTGCAGGCGCTCCCTGCACCCGCTCTGGCTGGCAACACCGGGGCCTCGGGAAAGGCCTGGAGCGGTGGGACCACCGAGGAGGAGGGCAGTAGAGGCCCAGGGGCCCGAGACGCTCCCAGCATCACTCGCGTTCCCGAGGCCTGGATCATTCGCGCTCTGCCCCGCACCCAGGAGGTCCTGAAGATCTACCCTGCCTGGCTCAAGTGAGACCCAGGTCCCCGGTAGGGTCTGTGGAGGGAGGGGGGGTGGGGGCTGTGCGACCCCAGCTCCTGAGCTTGTCCCCTGCAGGGTGGGTGTGGCCTACGTGTCCCTGCGTGTGACTCCGCAGAGCACTGCCCGGACTGTGGTGCTGGAGGTCCTCCCGCTGCTTGGACGCCAGGTATGTGTGCTGGGCCCGCCCTGCCTGGCGTGGTGGCCCCGTGTGGGTCTTCGGGAGGCGGGAGGTGGGGGGGGCGTTAGGGCTGGTGCAGGCCTGATGCCCTGAACTCCACCCCAACAGGCCGAGGGGCTGAAGAGCTTCCAGCTGGTGGAGGTACTCATGGGCAGCAGGCAAGGTGAGCGGGCAGCCTGTCGTCAAAGCCCTGACCAGTCCTGCCCCCAGGCGCCGGGGGCCCAGGGCAGGTGCTTTTGGAGGTGGCCACGGGGCCTGGGGCTAATAGTGCCGTCTCTCAACTTTGCAGTCCAGCGCACGGTGCTGGCGGACGAGGAGCCCTTGCTCGACCGGCTTCGTGAGATCCGGCAGGTCAGTGAGTGTGGACACTGGCCCCTGGGGAACGGCTGGCCTTTGGCCATGGCTTCTACCTTGTAGAGAGGGAGTCTGTCTCCCCTTAGGACACAAGGCCACGCTGGCGGGCAGCTAAGCGTCTCGGCCAGCAGTGCCTCCCCTTCGCAAGTTCCCCGTGTGTCCTTTCTCTCCTCTCCTTTCCCATCTTGGCGGCCTTCAGCCTGGGGTGTCTTCCCTTCGGCCCCCTTGGTGGACGGGGGGTGGGGAGGCCCGTCCCCTACTGCTCTGCTCGGCGTTCCCCCCTCCCCGCAGACGTCCCTGCGGCAGATGAGCCAGACGCGGTTCTATGTGGCTGAGAGCAGAGTGGTGGCCCCACGCGTCTCTCTGTTCGTGGGTGGCCTGCCCCCTGGCCGGTCCCCCCAGGAGTATAGCAGTCTGCTGGACGAGGCTGTGGCCAGCAAAGGTGCGACTGCCTGGGCCGGTCCGGGGCGCTTGGCCAGGTGGGGGGCAGGGCGGGAGTCCTGAGAGCGGGTGTGCGGGCTGCTGGGCAGAGGCTGCATCCCCCTGCTGCCCCGCTCCCCCCAAGCACTGGCTGAGCCTTTCCCGAGCTGGTTCCTGGCCCAGAGGGTCTCCGTCCTCACCTCTGGGGCCCAGGCCCCATCACCTCCTCTGAGGAGGTTTCCTGCTGTGGGCCCTGGGGGGGGTGCCCTGTGCCTGGAGTGGGGGGGCACTTCCTGGGAGAGCTGCGCTGTTGGGTGGTGTGAACTTATTCCTGGCTTGGGGGGCCGGGTGGGACTGCCTGGGGTGGCGGCCCTGGGTCAGGGGCCTGGGGGGCAGGTCCCTGGCGTCTGACCACAGCGTGCCACCCCGCCCCCACCCCCCCGTCTTTGCAGCTGGCCTGGTGTCCGTGAGCCACGTCTACTCCGCACAAGGTGAGCCCCCACGGCTTGTGGTCAGGTTGGGTCCGAGGTCACTCCCTGGAGTAGCTAGAGCAGCCTTGCCCTCTTGCTTCACCTTGTTTGGGACCCGTGGGCCGGGGAAACGGTGGTGTTTCATTTCCTGGCTCGCGGCTGTGATGCTTTTGCTAAAACGTGACTGAGACACAGAGAATGTTTTCTCCACAACCTCTCGTGCTCATGGGTTCTACCTTTCATGGCGGGAAACTTCAGATCTCCCCAGTGGGAAAACAGTACCGTGAGGCCTGTCTCCCCTCTGTGGGTCCATAGCAGTTACCAACATTCTCCATGCCTCTCGCGGGTCCTGGGGGGGGGGTGCGGGTCTGCTCCACCCTGCCTCCAGGTGGCCTTGCTCTGGCCAGCCAGCATCTCCTGTCTCTGGGCCCGGCTGTCCTTGGAGGCTTCCCCCGGGGGAGGGAGTCACGCACTGCGGGGACGCCTTGGGACGGGCTGGCCTGAGGTGGGCCGTGGCCAGAACTGGGGCCATTCGGCCGCGGGAGGAGGCGAGGCCCCAGCCCAGACTCCGTGTGGGTGGCGGCAGGACAAGTAACCGAGCTCACGGCCCACCTGCCACAGGTGCCGTGGTGCTGGACGTGGCCTGCTTTGCGGAGGCCGAGCGGCTGTACATGCTGGTCAGGGACACGGCTGTGCACGGCCGGCCGCTGACCGCCCTGGTGCTCCCGGATGTGCTGGTGAGTGGCGCTGGGGCGGGGCCTGGGGCCATAGCTTCCATGGCCAGTTTGTCTAATACCTGGTCAGTTGGAGCAAAGTCCGAGTCTGTGTGCACGGCTGACTCACTCCGAGGGAGGGGGCCGAGGTCCGATGGAGAGAGGCCGGCACGCCACGTGACTGGCACTGCAGCGGCCGCCTCTTCAGGGCTGGCCTGTGTTTGTGACTGTGTGTGCGGCCCTCGCAGGGTCGTGGGCCCTGGCCCCGCTTTTCCTGCCCTGGAGGCCTCTGCAGCCCTGCTCGCACCCTGGGCCTCCTCTGGCCAGTAGGTGATGCTCCCTGACCCTGGAGGCTGTCCCAAAGCCCCAGCAGTGCCCCAGACCCCGCCCTGCACTGTGTGCCCTAGTAGTAGCTTCTGGTCCTTGGCCCTGCTGGCCCCCAAGGACCCCCCGAGGTGACCGGACCCCAGTTCAGGCCGAGCAGGATTAGAGCAGAACGAGTTCAGGGTCTGTGACTGGGTGAGCCACGTCTGCAGGTTTCTGCTGCCCTGTCCTACCATCCAGACAAGGAGGCGGCCACTGCAGGTCAGGGTCCCCCTCCGCCAGCTCCACGGGCAGAGACGGGTGGGTGATGCCGACACGCACTTTCTCTCTCCCGGCAGCTGCCTGCCCTGGGCTGAGCAGGTAAGTGGTGACCGCAGGCAGCTCGGCCCGGTGGCTCACACGTCACCCCAGTGTGTCCTCGGCCTTGAGCCACGGCCGAGCCCGTGTGCGGCCGCTGCCCGCTGTGTCTGCGCCTGTTTGTCTCCTGTCACCCAGCAGCCCCCGTCCTCACCACGTGGGGACCCCTGCTCCCTGCCCACTCTCGCGGGCACTGTTTCTGCCATTGTGTTTGGGGGCGGGCTTTGTCCCGTGGCCCAGGGGAGGCCTGGGGCCGCCCTGCGAGCCGGGCTGCCCCTCCTGACTGCCGTGTGGGTGGGCGGGGGCCTGGCAGTGGGCTGGCTCTGAGAGGGGCAGGCGGGGTCCTGCGTGGGCTTCCAGCCTAGGCTCCTGGGCCACGTGGGTCTGGTGACGGGCATGGCCTGAGGACACGTGGCGTGGCAGCTGTGGCGTGGCCGATGTGCTCAGAACTCCAGGCTGGCCAGTGTCGTCCCGCCCCACCGCCCAGGGGTCTGTGGGCGCCCCTTCTGTTGTGGGATGCAGCCCGAGCAGGCAGTGGTGAGGTGGGGTGGCCGCGTGGCCTTCCTCTGGAGGGGCCGGCCCCAGACTGGCTCAGGCAGGTGGGCTGAGGGGCAGGGGCCGCCACTGCCAGGCCGCGTGCTGGGGTAGGCCCGGCTCTGTCTCTGGGGGTCCGGCCAGCCCGCCCTAACGCAGTCCCATCCGTCAGCACCTGAAGTTGCCCCCACACTGCCGCCCCCTGCTGGTGTTTGTGAACCCCAGAAGCGGAGGCCTCAAGGGCCGCGAACTGCTCTGCAGTTTCCGGAAGCTGCTCAACCCCCACCAGGTCTTTGAGCTGACCAACGGGGGGCCGCTGCCCGGGTGAGCCTGCCGGAAGGGGTACCTGCCCATGCCCGCCCCCCGGCCAGCAGGAACAGGTTGGGGTTCGGTGGGTCGGAACCCTCGAGGGCACCCTGGGTGGGGATGAGCTGCGGCCGCTTCTGCCCCGGGGGTGACCTCCTGTCCCTGCTTGTTCGCGGCCGTGGCCAGTGCCGGGACACGTCCTGTCTCCCTGCCGCCAGGTTCCACGTGTTCTCCCAGGTGCCCTGCTTCCGGGTGCTGGTGTGTGGTGGGGACGGCACCGTGGGCTGGGTGCTTGCCGCCCTGGAGGAGATGCGGCACCGCCTGGCTTGCCCAGAGCCTGCCGTGGCCATCCTGCCCCTGGGCACAGGTGGGGTCAGCTGGCACGTTGGGGGATGGGGCCCCGGGCTTGGCGGGGCGAGGGGTGGGTGTGGAGAGTCAGCGTGTGTCTTGCCGCTGTCCAGGGAATGACCTTGGCCGGGTCCTCCGCTGGGGGGCGGGCTACAGTGGAGAGGACCCGTTCTCCGTGCTGGTGTCGGTGGACGAGGCGGACGCCGTGCTCGTGGACCGCTGGACCATCCTCCTGGACGCTCATGAGGCCGGCAGTGGGGAGGACAGCGCGGCAGACGCAGAGCCCCCCAAGGTACCGGTGTGCCCAGGCGGGGGTGTGGCACCCGGCTGGCGTCTCTCTACCACGTCTGTCCAGGCGTTCGTCCTTGTCCCAGCCACGCCTTGGCGTTGGCGCCAGCGCTGTCCCCTCGTGGACACGGGTGCCGGGCCTGGGGATGGCCGGCTCAGAACCTGAGCGTGGGGCAGTCACCGGACAGAGCAGCTCTGTGACAGGAGGCCGGACCCACCGCAGGGGCAGCGGGGAGCACATGGTGGGGGCCGACTGGGGCCAAGGGACAACGCATCTCGTTCTCAGATCGTGCACATGAGTAACTACTGTGGGATTGGCATCGACGCAGAGCTAAGCCTGGACTTCCACCAGGCACGAGAGGAAGAGCCCGGCAAGTTCACGAGCAGGTGCCGCAGGGCAGGGGTGGGTGCAGGGCTGCCCTGGCGACCGTGTACTTCCTGGGGGCTCGCCCGTGACTGTAGGTCCCCCGCCAGGTTCCACAACAAGGGCGTGTACGTGCGGGCTGGGCTGCAGAAGATGAACCGCTCCCGCGGCCTGCACAGGGCCCTGCGGCTGCAGGCGGGGCGGCAGGAGGTGCAGCTGCCCAGCATCGAGGGGCTCATCTTCATCAACATCCCCAGGTGCCCGCACGCGGGGCGCCCGGGCTCCGGCCCCCCCCCCGGCCTCCCTCCGGCCTCCCTCTGACCTCTGTGCCCCTCCTTCTTGGTGCAGCTGGGGCTCGGGGGCCGACCTGTGGGGCTCCGAAAGTGACTCGAGATTCGAGAAGCCACGCATGGACGACGGGCTGCTGGAGGTGGTGGGGGTGACGGGCGTCGTGCACATGGTGAGCGCAGGGGCGGGGGACCGGGGGGCCGGGCCGTGGTGCTGCGGCCCTCTGAGCATGGCTCCCCCTCTCCCCCACCAGGGTCAGGTCCAGGGTGGGCTGCGCTCCGGCATCCGCATCGCCCAGGGGTCCTACTTCCGTGTCACCCTCCTCAAGGCCGCACCTGTGCAGGTGGACGGTGAGCCCTGGGTCCAGGCTCCCGGGCACATGATCATCTCGGCCGCAGGCCCGAAGGTACGCAGGCGCAGGCTGGGCAGGGGGATCGCTGCCCGCAGGCCTCGGCTGCGCAGAGTGGCCGGCATGGCCTGGGCACCCGGCGGTCCTGCTGCGGCTGGTTCTTCCCTGACGCGGGGAGGTCGTGAGGCTGGATGAGGCCGGCCAGCCCCTAGGGAGCCCCTCCCCACAAGCCGCGGTCACACCACGCTCCACTCTTTCCCCTTCTGTAAGATGGGCTGAGGGGGCAGCGGCCGTCCTAGGACCCGGCACCAGGTGGCCTGCAGTATTGCACAGCCCTCAGACCTTGCCTGTCTCGGGACAGGTCCACATGCTCAGGAAGGCCAAGCAGAAGCCCAGGAAGGCGGGGACCCCCAAGGATGTGCGAGCAGATGGGGCGCCTGCCCCTGAGGGGGACTCCAAGTAGAGGCGGGTCCTGGAGCAGCGCTCGCTGGTGGATATACTCGCCCACAGCCCTGCCCTTGGGTGTTTCCCTCTTGTCCCGTCCCCGTGCCACACACAACTGCTGGGTGGGTAGTGGGCACTTCTCTGGCCTTCGTCCCAGTGATGGGTGGGCACGGGGCTCTCTGGGGCCCGGGCCACTGTCCTGGAGGGCACACACTCCTCCCCAGGTCCCTCTGCCACCTCTGACCCCTTCAGCCAGGCAGTGCGGTACCTCACCTCATGCCCCTTGGGCTGTCCCCCTGGATGCTCCTACAGGGCAACTGGCTCTCTGGACCCTGGGGTTGCCCAGCACAGACACGGGACACCCTGGCCACTAGCTCTTTGGCCTCACCTCTCCACCGAGGGCTGTCCTGGGGGACATGCCTCTCCAGGCCCGGGTGGTGTCTGGCCGGCCCAGTCGGAACCTGGCTGGTGGCCCCGGAGTGACAGGCCTGGGATGGGAGGGCCCCGAGGAGGCCAGGTGGTGCCCAGGAGGTAGCAGGAGCCTGGCTGGGGGCCCAAAGGAAGCGCGGAGGGCGTGCAGCGGGAGCGGCTTTAATCAGCAAGGCCGACGCGGCACATGACCATCGCGGCGCTCGGCCTCCCATTTGCCGACAGCACACGGGTGCCGTGCCCGCTGCTGGGCAGACGGGACTCGCATGATCTCCGTGCTTCTTCACGCGGAGACTTGGCGAAACAGGATGCAAACGTGGCTGTCTGGTGGGCCACTCGCAGAGCCCCTACCACAGAGCCCCAGAGTCTAGCCAGCCCAGAGTCCCGACCTGGTCCCCAGAAGAGCCCGACCCCAGCTGCCTGGGAGCCCCCAAAGCCCCAGAGAAGGGTCCACAAGCCCCTCTCCTGATCGCCTGGTCTCTTTGCCTTTGGCGCTGTCTTGCCACTGGGCCCTCGCACCCTGGGTGGTGGCCTTACCCTGACATTCGGCCCCAACCTCGGACGTGGCCTGCCCAGCCCTGTACCCGCCACGCTCGTGCCAAAACTGTCCAGACACGTGCATCGGAGCAGCCGTGGGTGGCGGCCCGTCCTCGCCACGCGCCTCTGGTAGCTGCTGTGTGTCCCCCAGGTCGGCGTCCCCGGGGGCGGCATCAGCTTTTGCTTTGCGGGCCCCGTTGGTCAATGTGGACCGTCTTGTAAATTTTGGTTCAGGTGAACGTGTCCTCTGTGCGTGCGTGAGTGAGTCTGTGTGCCCGGAGGGGCTGTGTGGGCTCTGCACCGCCCCCCCCCCCCATTTGTAACTTATCACCTAAAGGTGACCGTAATTTATATCTGGGACAAATACAGTCTGGGCGTCCTGTCCTGCTGCCGTCTCCTGCGTCTGTGCCTGAGGCCAGTGTGTTGGGGGAGGAGGTCTGGGATGTGGGGGCCGGTTGGATAGCCCAGCAGCTGCCAGGGCCCTCTGCCCACGGGACGTGGGCTGAGTTGCAGGACGTGCTGCCTGTTGAGGACCCAGGCCACATCGCACACCCACACCCACCACGGGGCTGCGGCCCCAGCTGCCCCGGAACCACCCGCTGCCTGCGGCCCCCCCGCGGCTCATCTCCACTCGGTCGAGGCAGACAACAGGCACGTGGGACACAGTGACGCTCCTGCGAGACTCTTGTCTGCAACAGTGGAAGACAGTCTGAGGGGATGAGGTAGAGCATGAAACTTTACAAGGAAAACAAAACCCGAGGCCGGGCCACCAGCCGGACACTTGGACCTCAGGCAGGGGACCGGGGCCGCACTAGCAGGGAGCAGGGAGGAGTGGGGACTGCGCGTCGTCCGTGGCCCCAGGCACCGGCCGGGTGTGTGTGGGCCGGGCCGGGCCCCGCAGGCCCCGCAGGCCCCGCAGGCCGGCCAGCGCCAGGCGCACCAGAAGCCGCAACAGGAGGAAGGTGAAGGGCACGGCGATCTGCATGGCGTGGAAGATGGCCGTGCTGAAACTGCTGAGCACGCAGGTGCAGGCGAAGGCCAGCAGGCTGGCACCGGGGTAGAGCGTGAGCTTGGCGAACATGAACGCGTGCTCCTGGCCCCCGAACCGCACCGAGGGCTGCAGCGTCTCCCCCTCCTGCAGCAGCGCCGTGGTCCAGATGGCGAACTGGAAGATGCTGGCGAAGAAGATGATGGCGCAGCTGACTCGCACGCTCTCCAGCTCGTCGTGGGGCCGCCTCGCGAAGGCTGACGTCTGCTGGTAGGCCAGGGGCAGCCCGCCCACGAAGGCCAGCGAGAGCGTGTTGAGCAGGCCCATGGGCTGCGTGGCCTTGCGGATGTGCAGGAAGAGCGAGTGGTGGGCGAACCAGAGCAGGCCCACCGTGGCGAAGGAGCCGAAGTAGGCCAGGAAGTGCGGCCCGGACGCGCCCAGCGCCGCCACTAGGCTGCCGTGGAACTTGGCCTTCACGTCCTCGGAGTCTGGGACGTTGTCCTCACTGAGGGGTGAGATACACGGCATCTGCGGCGGCGCCACCTCGGGCGTCCGTCCCGGGCTGCCTGCCCCCACCCCGCCCCAGCCCCTGCGCGGGCTGCCGGCCCCCCGCACACTTGAACTTCAGATGAACGGACGGCGTACACTGAGACTGCGCGCACCTGTGTTCACACAGCGCCGTTCGCCTGAAGTTCAAGTTCAACTGCAGCCTGTGTTTCCTTGGCTGACCGCAGCCCTGCCCGCCGGACCCTGGGTTGGTGAGCGGCACGGGGCCCTGAGCCCGCAGCCCCTCTGGCGCCCACGGGTGGGTGCTCCTGAGGCCTGCCCACCATCCTGCAGCGGCCCGTCCACTTCGGGAGCGGTCCCACAGACCTGAAGGGCCTTGCCTCCGAGGTCCTCAGGTTCCTGGGCAGAACTTTAAGGAGCGATTCTAAGGCACATCTGGCCCAGGCTTCTCCCCACTGAGGTCATGGGGCTGCCGCCCTGCAGCCACGCAGCCCAGACACACCTCTGTGCCTACGATGGCAGCTGCACGTGTGCTGGTGGGGCTGGGGGCAGGAGACAGAGCCTGGGGGCTTCCTGGGGATCCCCACCTGGGTCCTCGGGGCTGTGGCTCTGGGTGGAGGAAAGAACCCTGACCTCCCCCCCCACCCCCGGGGTTCCCAGCCACAGCTGGCTCCTTGCTACCACCCAGCAGGGGACCCAAGCCAGCATGGCCTGGCTGCAGGGCAGAAGCAAAGCCAGATCACCCCAGAACCTTAGGTCTAGGTCTCAGAGATTGGTACCAATGGACATTTGCTCCCAATTTTTAAAAATTCACAAATTACAGTAGGAAAAAGCTACTAAGAGAAATTTAGGAGCATCAAGACCTTAGGTGAGGGGCTTCCCTGGTGGCGCAGTGGTTAGGAATCCGCCTGCCAGTGCAGGGGACACGGGTTTGAGCCCTGGTCTGGGAAGATCCCACATGCCACGGAGCAACTAAGCCCGTGTGCCACACTACTGAACCTGTGCTCTAGAGCCCGCGAGCCACAACTACTGAGCCCACGTGCCGCAACTACTGAAGCCTGCGCGCCTGGAGCCCGTGCTCCGCAACAAGAGAAGCCACTGCAATGAGAAGCCCGTGCAGCACAACGAAGAGTGGCCCCCGCTCGCCGCAACTAGAGAAAGCCCGTGCGCAGCAACGAAGACCCAACGCAGCCATAAATAAATAAATAAATAAATAAATAAATTTATATTAAGAAAAAAAAGACCTTAGGTGATCAGTTACAGAACATAAAATCAGAGCATTTTAACGTTAACAAAATAAGAACGTGCTGAAGTACGACCAAGGAATAAAAGGCTTTAAAGAAAAGACGGAAGACTTGAAAAAGCAGCAGATAAAACAGAAATAAAATGACAACAGCTAAGGTTGGAACTGTGACAGACCGCAGAGGCTGCCTGGCCGAGCAGAAGCGCAGGAGGGAAGGGAAGAGGCGGGCTCGGAGCAGGAGAGGGGCGCAGGGAGCCGGGGCCGCCCGCCCTGCGTGTGCAGCTCTGGGAAGGACGAGGACTGGGCCCTTCTCAGGCGGGAGCCCCTCAGGGAGGGTGGGCCGGGAGACCTCGGAGCCTCTGTGGGGCTGGTGGAGGAGTCTTGGCCCAGCGGGTCCTCACCAGATGTCCAGGATGAGCAGCGTGGCCACAATGGCGTAGACCCCGTCGCTGAAGGCCTCCACCCGTTCCTTGCTGAGCGGCTCGTGCAGATCAAAGGTGAAGATCTCCAGGCTGTGAGCCGGGGGCTCCCTGGGGCCTGTGGGAGGGGCAGCCAAGCCCTCAGGGCCTCGGGCCAGCTAGGAGGCCCCGCAGGGACGCCGCCTGCCCGGCCCGTGTTCTGCGCGCCCCGGCGGCAGCCCCAGCACCCCACACTCCAACCCCGCCTGGCACCTACCCACAAGCCTGGCTCTGCACCAGCCGGCGACCTTGCTGACGTAGGGCAGGAAGATGACTGTCGCCATCAGCAGGTACGACTGCACGAGACAGGGCACAGGGCACGTCAGGGCACGTGGTGCCTCCACCGAGGGGCCCAGCCAGGAATCCCACCCCAAAGCTGCCCGCCCGGAAGGGATTGCAGCTCGAGCAACAGGAGACGAAACAGGTGAATCATCCGTCATCAAGACAGAAACCTTCTGTGCATAGAAGAACGTTACCGGGGGCTGAAGAGACACTGCACAGAACAGGAGATGTTTGCAGACCACACGCCTGGTAAGGGTTACTATCCAGGTTTCATAAGGAACCCCGACAGCTCCATGACGGAGAGACAAATAACCCAACTGAGAAATGGGCCATGGACTTGCACTGACATTTCTCCGAAGAAGAGACGCGGCCCCGACACGTGTGGGGAGGCGCTCAGCACCACTAACACTCGGGGAAACGCCAGTCACAACCACGAGGAGAGCAGCGCACGCCTCAGGACGCTCCCAGTGGGAACAGGGAGCAGCCGTGCTGGGGTGGGGTGGGGCTGGAGCCCTGTGTGCCGTCGGTGGGAACGTAAATGGCGCAGCTGCTGGAGAACTGTCGGGAGGTTCCTCAGAAACTAAACGGAATCGCCACAGGACCTGGCAAGTCCACTTCTGGGCACACCCATGCTCACAGCAGCCACCGAGTGTCCGTGGGTGGGTGATGGGGCCCATCCACACAGTGGGGTACTACCGGCTAATGAAAAGGAAGGGAATCCTGACACCGGCGACGTGGATGCACCTTGAAAACATGCCGAGTGAAAGAAGCCAGACGTAGAAGCCCCCTATTTCATAATTCCACTTATATGAAGGAACCAGAATAAGCAAACCCCTACAGACAGAAAGTAGACTCGCAGTTTCCCGGGACTGAGGGTGAGGAGACAGGGAGTGGCTGCTCATGGGCTCAGGGTTTCTGTCTCGGGGGAATGAAAAGTCCCAGAACCAGAGGGAGGTGATGCACGGTGACGTCGGCAGTCAATGCCGCCGAGCTGCACGCCGCAGATAAAATGGTCACAGTGGTCAATTTTTTGCTACGCGGACACCCAGTTATTTTAAACGGAGGCTGGCGGGCCAGGCGTGCTCCCGGGCCCGAGGTGGCCGCAGAAGGCTCCTCGCCCAGCCCTGTCGCCTCGGCCGGTGGCCCCTCTCAGCGAAGGGCTTCCACCCCGTCCTTCACAGTCATGCTTCAAGGTCACCTGGCACCTGGCCTGGTGAGGGGACTCAGGAGACGACGGGCACCTCGGGGACAGACGGGGGGCGGCCGGCATCACAGCTCTGCTTACGACCTCCAGTCTCCACACGTCAGAAGGCCACACCATACACGTCACTCAACACACACACACCGAGGGGGCGGAGTGTCCCAGGTGCCTGGCAGGTGAGTGCAGAGGCCCCGGGGGGCGACGGTGGCCACGCAGGATCGGCGTGTGTTCTGTGTGTGCACGTGCGCTGCGGGGTAGGAGGGAACAGAACAGCTCGAGGGGGAGCCTGAGTCCTGGGGCGGGGGGAGATCTAAATGGCCGTGGGGACCTGCCCAGGTCTGGAGGAGCGCGAGTCCCGGGGCGGGGGGCGAGCTAAATGGCCGTGGGGACCTGCCAAGGTCTGGAGGAGCACGAGTCCCGGGGCGGGGAGCGACCTAAATGGCCGTGGGGACCTGCCCAGGTCTGGAGGAGCGCGAGTCCTGGGAGCAGCCGGCACAGGAAGCTGGCATGGGAGGCCCTGGGCCCCGAGTGCCACCAGTGGAGGAAGGTGGTCCAGAGGGAGGTCAGGACGGCCTGGGCCAGGGCAGTAAGCAGTGGCTGGCCCTGGAAGGTGGACCCCGCACAGCGTCCCACGTGAGGGAAGGGGCTGGTGAGGACGCCTGGAAGGATGGCCGTGGGCTCATGGGGAGGCTGCAGGGGGTGGGC